AGAGGAATATAGGTGACGATTTTTCCAAATAATTTATTATAAACTTTCGCTGATTCTGTTTATTTTTATAGAAAATTATTTGATTCTTGTCCCACATTCGAAGCTGGAAAAAGATTTCAAAACTTTATTCAAAGCGACGAAGGTGGCGAGTGTTCTAATAAAATGTATTTCATAATTTTACCCCAAAAATACCGTAAGATTTAGTCTTTTCATGAGAATCTTTAGAAAATTGAGCATTTAGAAAAAAAGTAACTTTGCTAAAACTGGAAAATTCTAAAATGTTGAAAAAATGTTAATATTATTGCTTAAATTGACCCTTAAAATAAATCTAAAAACCAGTGAAGAAAGTCATCAACATTTTCCCAGCAACGAAACTGAGTTACCGCGCCGGTGCGTTGTGTTGGCGCACCAAGCCATTTGCGTGGCACTGCGCCAACCAGGCCTAGAAAAAAACCCACAGAAAATGGCCCGGTTTATTCACTGTTTCGCTGAGTGAAAACTGCAATTGTTCCTCAAAAGGGCCAAAGTCTATCTTTTGTCTCCAACTCAGTTTGTTCAGTATCACTAACCAGGTAGGCGAAAGCAATAATACAACAAACCATTAGCGCAGTTGTTAAGTAATAAGAAAATGGGCATTGGCGCTAGAGGCAACCACATATATAAATAATTCATATTTGCAGACAGATAAGCATATTTATTTAAGCTGGAACTGGTGTCAACATTTGCGGTGTCTGGTTCGTGCAACGGATGGACATTTTTGCGTCGCGACTTCGTTGCGGAAGTTGCCGTTCGCACTTGATGGCCCGAAGAAAACTCCATCGAAAACGGCCAATAAATCACAAATTTCCGTTGCTTTTTAATTAAAAATCTCCATCAGGTCAAACTCGCGTCTGGTCCGCAGGACTTGCAGGGGAATTAATGGATTTCTTTTCTCAAATCTCTCTACTAATCCTTGCGCCTGATTATTACAAATAGGACCGGTTTGGTTAAATTAAACACTCCTCATTACCGACCGCTGCGATCTCGCCGATAACTCGCATCAAGTCTAGTTGGAAACGCATATTCTACAGTGTGTTCCAATTACAGCGACCCGGGGACCAATAATATAAATTTTATTAAACAGCTTATTAATAGGAATAAGCCAATTAAAGAAATAAGCGAGCGCTATAATGGCTAATTTATGAACTGATCCTTTATCGGATCATAAACAATCCTCCCGTGGTGGATATCTGTTGAATTATTGCTTCCAGATGGGCGTGAACGGACTTATTGAAAAGCATTTGCACGTTCAACTACTGCCCTCTTTAAACTCAATTTCATTCTTCCTTTTTTGCTTTTTCTGGTTCTGAAGGTTTCATCTGTTTCATTAAGATTGGCAATTTTTTTTTAATCAGGTTCGGTTCTCCTTTAGGTAAAACAGTGTTCTTAATAAGTTGACAAAATTCCCCAATTCCACCAGTACAAATTTGAGACTAACGATTGTTAAGACGGCGTCGGTTTGGGTCAATTTAAAACACTAGCAAGCAAGTTGGGAAATTTCCGAAAAATTACCTTGAGCTTTGTTTTGAAGGAAATTTTTGGCAGTTTTACAATGAAGTGTCTTTAATAGATCTCTAAAATTTCCCGACTCTACTCCTTGAGCTTTAAGAATAATGAATTTTTTAAGTTGCGTAGCATTGGACAAGTTTGTACTAATAAGCAGCAGGTTTCAGAAAAAAATTTAGAAGTTGCTTCCGCTCTGTTTTGAATGAAGTTCTCTGAAACTGTACAACAACTTTGCCTTAGGGTCAAAATATGCTTCCCCCATTGACACAAATGTGAGCTTACGATTTTTCAAGAGGTCGTGTTATTTGAACACTTTGTAATATTGGAAACTAAATTTAAAAATTTCTCAAAAATTTTTCTGAGAATTGTTTCAAATGAAAATTCCCCCGGACATCCGCACAGATGTTCTTGACAAACCACTACAGAAAGTTCCAGCTTCATTTGCTCAGGTTTGGGAGTAATGATTTTTGAAGCAACGCACAGCATTTGATCTATTTGCAATACTAAAAAACAAGTTTGAAAATTTCTCATCAATTAATTCGAGCTTTATTTTAAATGAAATTTGCTGTCGTTCTGCACTTGAATATTCTGAAGAAGCTGCGAAAATTTTTCAACTCGATTTACCCACATTCAAGAGTTTCGATTTTTCAAAGTTGCGCGTCGTATTTGGTCAGTTTGAAATATTTCGAAGCAACTTTGGAAATTTTTCAAAAATTCAGTTGAGCTTCGTTTTGCATGAACTTTCCTGCAGTTGTACAATGAAGGCTTCTTAATAATCCGTCAAAATACTAAACTCGGCTTAAAAAAATTTGAGCGTCCCGATTTTTCAAAATGTCGGTGCATTTGATTAATTTGTAATATTAAGAAGCAAGTTTCAAAATTCTCCAAAAATGAACCTGTGCTTTGTTTTGAACAGAAGTGCCTGGAGTCATAAACTCTTATGTGCTTAGTAATCGGCCAAAATTTCCTAGCTTTAGTTGGGCAAATTTGGTGCTGATGTCTATTCAAAGTGGCGCGTGGCATCAGATCAGTTTTCTAATATTAAGAAGCAAGTTTTAAAATTTCTCAAAAATTCACCGTTGCTTTGTTTCAACCCAAATTTTCTTGAGTTATACAACAAAGCGTTTTTAATAGGTGGTCAAAATTTCCATACTCGAATTGCCCAGATATGGAAGTAATGATTTTTTTAGGTGGCGGAGCATTGGATAAGATTGTAATATTAAGAAGCAAGTTTGAAAATTTCTCTAAATTCAACTTACAATTAAACTTCGTTTTCGATCAAAGTTTCTCTAATTGTACAATAGAATGTCCTTAACAAACTATCAAAATATGCCGCCTCCATTTATAACAACTTGAGCATGCCGATTTTTCAGAAATCCTGTTTTTTGGAAAATTTGTAATATTGAGAACCAAGTTTCAAAATTTCTCAAAAATTAATTTGTGCGTGGTTTTAAATGAAAGTTAATCATAACATAGACCCAGATGTTATTAGTAAGCTGTAAAAACTTGCGAGCTCTACTTGCTCAGATTTCGAAGTAATGATTTTCCAAAATTGGGTAGCTTGTGATCAGTCTGCCTTATTAAGAAGCAAGTTTGGAAATTTCTTAAAAATCAACACTAACCGTGATTACAACAGCATCTTCAGAACTCAAACCCTAAAGTGTGTTTTGCAAGTCCTCGAAGTTTCCAAGCTCCATTGGCCTTGGCTTCAATGTAAGAAGTCTTTGAATGAACGTGCTGCTGCGTTTGAACAGTTTTCTCCGTTGAACAGCAACTTTGAATATCTCGAAAATTAGCCTAATGGTCGCTACGAAATTTTCAGTATTTCTCTACCAAACTATTCCCTCAAATCGGTAAAAATTTCAAAAATTTGAGCTTTCTAGTGTGGAAGTTTCAGGCACTTCAAAGTTAGCCTACATTGAAAACGTCTGCATTTTCCACAGAAGCGATTGAAATTTTGTCAAAAATCAGCACGGGCCTTGATTTATAAGAAATTTTCAGAAAGTGTACCCCTAAACAACTTGTATAAGCTGTCAAACATCATCAAACAGAAATTACGGCTTGTTGGGCATTGAGCGGTTTGCCTTATTGAGGCTAAATTCAAAAATTTCTCAAAATTCAGCGCCCTCATTTTTTAAATGAAATTTTCAGGATGACTCACTTCCTACTTCCCTTCCTACTTCAGTTGCCCGGGCTGGGAAGTCAGGGTACCTTCAAGCAGGTTGGGCCATTTGAGCGCATTGTTTTGTTTTGAAAGACTCTGGAAAATGAATGACAAACCTTATGTCAAGTGAAACTTTCAGGGGAGTTCTACACGAAAGTCTGCTTGATAAGCTGCCAAAATTTCCCATTTAACAGCCCTCAGGTTGGAAGTTAGCATGAGTTTACTTTATAGTTGCTTGGATTCCAAGGCGCCATCAAGCAGCCTCCGTCTCCTCCCTCTAGAACTAGTCAATTGACTCAGCAATGCACTTGGGAAACTTTCGAAAGCTCGAAGTCACTGTTGCAATCGACGCACGAAAATCCCTCATGCACGACTTTGGGTCGTAAAAGAGCCTCAAACTAAATGACCAACATCGCCCCAACAAGGGAAAATGCATTTGATCGCAGCCCGCAGCTGTTCTTTGGGGAACCGGAGGTCATTGCAGGTGCATCATAGGTTCGGGAGTCAAGCAAGGGCCCAAAGACAAACCGGGGAAGTTTTGTGCAGAAAACCTGAAGCTAAAGCTGAAAACTGAATACTTAAAGTTGTGGCTTGAAAAGCCAGTTCTGCAGCAGCGTGTACTGTGTAGTTGCCATCTCCCGATATCCTGGGCAGGCTTTATTTATATCTTATCTTAAGACGAGACAAACTAAGCCACTGAAGCCCCGCAATGTAAGAGGCGACTCTTACGGTCGAGCGAGTACGTTCATTTTACCGAACTCAGTTCGTATTCAGGTTCCGCCAGCATTAGGCGAACGAATAGTCGGCTAAAAGCGGGCGCAACTTTAGTTTTCGGTGAGAAAAAACACGAGTTTTGCGAGTTTTCCACCAGCCATTCCGGCTCAGTGCAAGCGGAAAAGTGCCTGATTAGTGTGCTGATCATTTGGATTGTACTGCGGCCAGTAAGTCTTCTGTGCGCTAAGCCAGATCGGAAAAGGTCAAGTTTGGGTTAGTTGGAATCAGCGCTTGAACTGTCTGTGGGGTTTGGAGGGTTAATTAGGGAGATTTAACGGAGTTGTCGATTTTTTATCAGAAAACTGGGTTTGGAAAATCCGGTTGAATAGGTGTGATCATCGAGCTGGCGCCGCCGGATTTTATTGTATGAAATAACTGATAGCGAACCCAAAGGTGATATGATAAGGAACCTGATTCCCATTGAGCTTCACCTTTCCGATGATGATTCAGCCGCTTCGAGTGCATTTTGAGCATTGCAGTTTGCACAGCCGCTAATTGAAATCAATTTTCCGATTAGTCAGGGCTGAAGAAGCCAAATAAAACCAAGCTGAGCAGGTAGAATCGCGTCGAGTTACCAGTTTAAATGGCCGGTGCAGTGACACCTTTTCTTCTTCCATCTTCATCCGCTCCGGGTTCTCTGGGCTGCATCCAACAATAGATTTCTAAAGTTAGTACCGCTCGTTAAACGCCTTTCGGTTCTTTTGTGTTCGGGCGCATCACCCGCTATTTAAAGGCCACTTTTCTCTTGTTTTGTCGTGGAATGTCGAATTCTCTGAAACGCCCACCGACCAGCCAAATTAGTGTTGCGGTTTCCGGGTTTTTTCCGCCTGTCGACGCGAGAAGAAAGTGGCGTAAAAAGCCTTAATCAGCTTCGGCCAGTCTGGAAAATGGCACCGAACCTTGAAATGAGACAGCGGCGACGAAAAGCCTTGAATCCAACAAAAACGATGACGAGACAATAGCAATTTAATCCGATTTTACGTAACAGCGGACAAGTTTAATTAATGAATGTTTCCTGTCGTGGATGCAAATAATCCCGGCCAGTAGCGATAACCTTTGTTCAAATTAACCCATTTGTTATTGTGGAATTGAATCAATGTGACGTGCAATCGCAGCTCGATTTTTTTCCTCAAACCATCGGCGCCACTCTCAAGGGGAGATAAGGCGAGTGTGAGGAATCATGACGACTTTTTCGCAACAAGTTCAAATCGGATCAAAATATGCCACCCAAACATGCAAACAAACGTAAAACAACATGCCATAGACGTTCGCCTTTTTTTGAACAACCAGGGAGAAGTTAAAAGTTCGCGATTGTCTCTTTGAGAAAGCGAATCCCAAAGAAGTCAATTCCGATTTACTTAAAACACGGGTCTCTTTGGACCAGAAACTGGCAAAAAGTTCATACTCGCCCTATTTTTTAGCCCTTTAATCTACAACTTGCGCAACCCAGTGCAGACATGATTTTAAAAAAATCATACTCCCTGATCAAATCAATATGAGCCAGGAAATTTTGAAGTTCAGGAACGATTACTTCCAGCTACTACTAGGAAGGAATTTGAATAAAATTAATCAAACAGCTGATTTTTAAGGAGCCTCCAAAGACAAAGTTTAGCAACCTTCACATTAACCACTTACTGGGCTTTCAGGGTGACTTAAAAATTGCTAGCTTTTTCCCATTAGCCTCAAATCCTAAAATCCTCCCATTAGCCACTGGCTGGGCTCTAAGGCTTCAACGTTTAAGGTTCCAGTTTTTCAACAAAAACAAGTTCAAACTTTAAGTTTTGATATTTGGAAGAAGACGCTTCAATCTATAACCAGGAAGAGCTTTGAAACTTTGAAATCTCAATCGCTTCAATGTAATTTAAAAATGGCCAGTTTCTAAACTAAATCAAGTCCAAACTAAAAAATTTTGTACATTCGGAGGGAGGCACCTCAAGCTACTGCAAAGAAAAGTTTTACTCAAATCCAATAATTTGTTGATTTTTTTTTGGAATCTCCAAAACCTAACTTTAAAAGCGTCCCATTAGGCACTGATCAAAAAATTCTCAGTTTCTAAACCACAACAAGTTCAAACTTGCGATCTTCATATTTCGAAGAAGACATTTTAAGCTATAACGAGTCAAATTTTCACTCAAATCCATTCAATTTTTTATTTTTTTAAAACCTCCAAACCATTCGCAGTAGCAAGACGCAAAAGCTTTCAGAGGAAAGAGGCAATTTAAACATTGCCGGTTTCTAAACAAGAACAAGTTTAAACTTCAAATCTTCTTATTGGGACGAGGAGACTTCAAGCTACAATCGCGCCAAATTGCACTTAAATCCTACATTTCTACAAGTCTGAAAATCCTGACATACAGTCATTGGTAGGATTGTAAGGCCTATGCATGATTTTAAAATATGCCAGCTTCTAAACTAGAACAAGTTCAAACTTGAAGTTTCCATAATCAGGAGACGACACTTCAGACTACCACTGTGCAAAGCTTCACTAAAATCCAACAATTTCTTGATTTTTTTAGAAACCTCTTAAACCTGACTTTAAAAGCCTCGCATTAGCCACTGGCAAAGCTCTAAAGCTTCAACGTGATTTAAAATTTGCTAGGTTCTAAACGAAAACAAGTTCCAGCTTGAAATTTTGCCATTTCGAAGAAGACATCGCACGCTGTATCCATGCAGAGTTTAACTCAAATCCATTCAATTTTTTATTTTTTGGAACCTCTAAAACCCAACTTAAAGCATTGGCAGGGCGTTAAGGCCTAAACATGACTTAACAAATCCATAGTTTCTAAATCAAACAAAGTTAAAATTTGAAACACGGGAAATGAAACATTTCAAGCTACATTCGAGTGAAGTTTCCCTCAAATCCAACCAACTGTCTTGGTGTTTTAGAAACCTCCAATGCCTAACTTTTAAAAACATTCAGCAATCCACTCACGGCTGTTTTAGAAAATTGCCAACTTCCAAACAAATGCAAGTTGACGCTTGAAATTTGCACATTTAGGAGAAAACATTTCAGTCTACAACCAAGAGAAGTTTCACTCTAATCCAACGATTCTCTGATTTTTCCGAGACTCCCAAAGTCAAACGCAGTAAAAGTTTGCAACTACGGATTCCCTTGTCTAACGAATGAAAGTTCGGCTAAAAGAAACTCCGCAAAGTCCGCAACTTCCATGCAGAAGGCAGTTAGTTAGTTGTACAGTGAAAAATCAGGTCTGAGGTGTAAGTATGTACGTAAGCGCTTGATGGATCGATTTAAATCCCTTGAAAAAATCGATTAGGACTTTTGAAAACGTGTGGCAACTCGAGGGAGACGCTCCCTTGGGTGTTAAAATCCAAGAACCAAATTAAGAAGTTCCAACTGAAATGCCTTTCAAGCTGCAGAGCTGAAGAGTGGTCAACTAAATCCGCCCACCTTGACTATGAGCGGCATAAAACTGTCCCATCAATTGCAGGTTTCCGGGAAAAATGACCTGTGGACGCGCAGAAAGGGCCGCATAAAGCGTCCGGATGAAGGTACCCGTAGGTAAACCTGTTGGCCAGTACCATGAGAGAAAAGGCGAAATATAGATCTGCACCGAGATACAGCTAACTTGACTTTGGTATTATGTGGTGGCAAGTGTTGAGAGAACAAGTGAGGTGTGCACAAAGAGGTCACTGAACGCACTTGCCAGTGTCAAAGAGACTGAATCCGACACCATTCTGATGGATTCGCAACGTAATGGTAATACAAGAAGCTTCAGCGTGATGGGTGAGTGTAAAATGGGTAGAGTTTGCTGGTGATGGTGATTGAATCGCTCCCATTTTCGCTGCGACAGTGGCAGCAATCCCGCAGGATCTAAAGATAGACAAAGTCGCTTTAATGCATGTGTGTGTTCCCCGTGACGAAAGCGAAAAAACGCTGGCTGAAGAATCCGACTTAAGTATGCATGTTGCTGAGCGGACGTGTACTTAAATAGCTCCCATCGAGCAACACGGTTTGCTCTAATTGGCCTTTAATTGGTCCACATGAAGAGGAAGAAGTCGCCGCAATAAATCATCGAAGATTAGCTCAACCAGCCGATAAGTCCGATAACGATTAAAACCCACTACTTTGCTGCATTCTATCAGCACTGGGTTAATCCAAATCAATCAATTTTCGTTTAGAGTTCTTCAGCTTCCACACTGAACTGAATCGCCCAGTCATTATAATAAGACGCCAACGGTTCGAGGCAAAAACAAATTGAAAGTCGGTGATTCATTCCATCGGCCGAAAACCAGTTGGGTTCCACCAGTAGAACCTGGGAACCACTTAACGGTCGTCTGGAGCCCCCCAGTCGTAACGTGGTTCCATCAAGCTCCTGATGCTCCAATTTGTGGTTTTCGATCTTCAAAGAGTTTCTAGATGGGAGAGGACCAGAAAAAGCCGTTCGTTTTATAAATAGCCCCCATGAATACCAGACTGTCTAGCCGAATTGTTCGGATTTGTCAAGAGTGACCGTCGAGGAATGTTGGCCTGTCTTCGCAGCACCCGAATCGCTTGCAACCATTAAATTACCTTTTACACGTTGTTGATGTTTTCTTGTACGAACCAGCTGAGAAACCGATACAGCCAATCTTCAGCAATTTACTACTACACATTATTGGCGTTGCGTCGAGCATCTCTTTGTTTTTTCAAGGGTGTTTCTATTTTTAAAATCGCACAAAGAACACCAAAGTTATGTGCAAAATAGGGCTGTCTTAACATCTTCTGGGAATGCCACCGGGACATTGCCATTGTGATGCGAAGAATTGCACTTTGGAGGGCGTGAAATCGGCACTCGAAGGGCATTTTGACTATTGAAATCCGGATGAGAAATTGCATCGTCATTGGAGCTTGAGTAATTGAGTCACTTTAAGAGCCTGCTTCAAACAGCCCAAAACTAAAACTAGTTCTCTCTCCACTGATCGGCACACTTGCTCAATTGGTTACCGAGAAAAGCGCAAAAACGGGACGGAAACCAGGAAATGTTGGCATAATCTTGCACCTGGGAGTCTAATAGTCAAATTTTGTTTCAAAACTACGATAATTTCCTCACCCGCGTTGGTAGAACTGAATCGAGTTTCCAATTCTCTTTCTAATGATGCCAAAACGAAATCTGTGGCTCAAATGGTTCCTCAAAAACGTCGAAAAATGCACCGTTAGGATTGAGTCGATTTTGGAACCAAAAAAATAGCCAAATCGAAAACTTCTTGGAATCAAAACTTTTTTGGGCAAACTAGCAACATTTCTTAATTGATGCTTTACTTGCTAGAAGCGCCATTCAGCGATGAAAAAATGAGTTCTATGGCTCAATTTGTCTGCGAGAAATGAGCAAAAGCGATACAAAAAACATGAAATGTTGCCCTAATCTTGCGCCTAAATGTAAACTATCGGAATTTCCTTCTTCTTTTTTTAGCCAAAATCAAACCTTCTTGAAATGAAGACGTTTTTGACAAAATCTTCATGACACCCATTCGAGAGTATTTTTTATTTTAGAAATTCTGTGATAACTAACGAAGATATCGACAAAAGAAACTTTCTGCAGTGTCCTCTTAACATCCTCTGGTAATGTCATGAGCATTGTAATGTTTCGAAGCCAAATCATGTCTGAAGAAGAGGATAAAATCGGCTTTACAATGGATTTGTCAGTTTTAAAATCGGATGGAAAGTGACACCGCTATCTGCAATTGAAAATAGTATGCCATGTCCGCTTAAGATATGTTTCAAAAAATCTTTAAATTTTCAATTTTTGAAAAATTTTCAATAATGTCTAACAGAGTTTTAAATTTTTCTTCACACGCTTTTTCGATCTTTTAAATCGCTTGATTAGTAAGGACGTTCTGGACAAAACAAATTTTCTGCAAGACCTCCATAATCTGGGATATATCCTCCATAATTCTGGGAATCCGACAGGAGTTCATGTATTTTGATCGGGAAAACACCTTTAAGGAGAGCAGAAAAAGTTCTTTACAACGGTGCGATGGTTTTTGAATTCGACTGAAAAATGATGGTGCCATCGACAATAGAAAAATTGATGTTTCAGGAAATCTTGAAATTTTCGATTTGTTAAAATCTTCCACACTGTTTGACAGAGTATTAAATTGCTCTTCAAGTGCTTTTTTGAGTCTCTTGCTTTGAAAGGAAGTTATGGACAAAGTAAACTTTCTGCCCGGCCCCTTAACATCTTCTGGGAATCTGATAGGAGCGCATGAATGTTGATCGGGAAAACACCGTTAAAGAGAGCAGAAAAATGTATTTAAAATGGGGCAATGGTTTTTGAAATCGGTTGAAAAATGATGGTGCCATCGACAATAGAAAAATTGATGTTTCAAGAAATCTTGAAATTTTCGATTTGTTAAAATCTGCCACACTGTTTGACAGAGTATTAAATTGCTCTTCAAGTGATTTTTTGAGTATCTTGCTTTGAAAGAAAGTTATGGACAAAGCAAACTCTCTGCACGGCCCCTTAACATCTTCTGGGAATCTGATAGGAGCGCATGAATTTTGATCGGAAAAACACCGTTAAGGAGAGCAGAAAAAGTTCTTTAAAACGGTGCGATGGTTTTGGAAATCGATTGAAAAATGATGGTGCCATTGACAATAGAAAAATTGATGTTTCAAGAAATCTTGAAATTTTCGATTTGTTAAAATCTTCCACACTGTTTGACAGAGTATTAAATTGCTCTTCAAGTGATTTTTTGAGTATCTTGCTTTGAAAGAAAGTTATGGACAAAGCAAACTCTCTGCACGGCCCCTTAACATCTTCTGGGAATCTGATAGGAGCGCATGAATTTTGATCGGAAAAACACCGTTAAGGAGAGCAGAAAAAGTTCTTTAAAACGGTGCGATGGTTTTGGAAATCGATTGAAAAATGATGGTGCCATTGACAATAGAAAAATTGATGTTGCAAGAAATCTTGAAATTTTCGATTTGTTAAAATCTTCTACACTGTTTGACAGAGCATTAAATTGCTATTCAAGTGCTTTTTTGAGTATCTTGCTTTGAAAGGAAGTTATGGACAAAGCAGACTCTCTGCACGGCCCCTTAACATCTTCTGGGAATCTGATAGGAGCGCATGAATTTTGATCGGGAAAACACCGTTAAGGAGAGCAAAAAAAGTTCTTTAAAACGGTGCGATGGTTTTGGAAATCGATTGAAAAATGATGGTGCCATCGAAATTAAAAAAATTGATGTTTCAAGAAATCTTGAAATTTTCGATTTGTTAAAATCTTCCACACTGTCTAACAAAGTTCTAAATGGCCCTTCCAGCACTTTTTTGGATTTTTGTGTCTCTTGCTTCGTAATGGACGAAAATGCAATGGACGAAAGCTCGAATTGTCCAGCTAACATTTGCTTAAAATAGTCTTGAAAGAATTGTTTTCAAGTCCTGAGCTTGTTTTAACTGTACATTAAACATCTTTCAGGCGCTTTTTAAATTTTTTTTATAACATGATCCTTAAGGGAGTGACAGACAAAGCAAACTTTCTGCAAGATCGGCTTAACATCTTCTGGGAGTCCAACAGGACGTCCTTCGCGATTTTGATACGAAAAACGCCATGTTAAGTACCCGAGTAAAATTTCCTTTAAAACCTCGTTTTGATATTTGAAGCTGTTTCGAAAAAGGCGCTGTTATATCACATCCTTCCAAACCCACTTATGATCCTCTGGGACTCCCGCTAGAATTTGAATACCTTGGCGCAAAAAACGTATGTTTTGAGGGCAAGAAGTGGGCATTGAAAGGACGTCGAGTATTTCATTAAATTCCGAAGAAAATGCAGACAATCCTGCACCGAAACCTGTCCACTTAGAGGTACGCCATAGATGGTGGTGGCCAGCTTAAGGCCTCGAGCCGCGTATTTGGCTGTTGTGTAGGAGGGCAGATCGTACGTTTTATGGATATTCGTGTGAAAATAAATCAACTATTATGCCATACCAGGTCGATAACGTATCGACCGACGCAAATGGAAAAAAGACCAAGTAAACAATGTGTTTATCGTGCAGTCGAGCACATAATGAAAGTCGTACAAGAATATAATTGGACCCATTTATCGGTTGGCCACATTAGTAGGTCGATTGATATTTGGAGCAAATTCGATTCCATCAAGCAAATCTGTTTAGGCGATTTCGGATTTCGGTTCTCTTAAGCCAGGAAATTCGGTGTTATGCACTCGAATGGCTTGACACACTTGGAGAATTGAGAAAATCTACACATTACGCGAAAAGTTCGCCATGGCTGAACAGGCGCAGGTGTTTCTGTTAATATGGTAATTACTTCGAAGAATCGGAGGAAACGTTGCTTAAGAAAATTGATCATGTGTGGGCACCGAACATTGCCAAGCTTAATTGATTTCTATTGGTTTAAGCGGGTTTTCAACCAAAAAAGAAAAATAAACACTTGCAGGTGCTTTCGTACAAAGAGTTCCAGAAGTAATGTTGCTTTACCTACTTAAACTCCTGAGGATGGGCGAAAATCGAAACGTTTCCCACTTATAGAACGCACTTTGCCCTACCAATCTTACACAAAATCACATGCAGTTTTGGAAAATCCCGGAAAATTACCTGATGATGACTGAAAATCGAAACTTTCTACACTTACATAAGGGACGTTCCCCTGAAAAATGTGTCGAAAACTCACTTTTTTGCTCTGCAAGATTCAGAAGAAATAAATGCTGCGAAATAAAAACTCCGACCTGGAAAGCTCTGCAGAAAACTAGTAGCAATTTAGCCTGATGATAACTGATAGTCGAAACTTTCTGCATAAGGGACTGTGCCCTACAAAATGAATCCAAAGCTAAGTTTTTCAGTTTGTACGTTACAGACAAACTGACACTTTAACTCCGGCCTGAAAGCTTGAAAACGCGCAAAAAAGTCAAATTTCAAAAATTTATTACGAAGGATCTATTCGCTCAAATAAATCGAAAATTGCACAACAGGTTAAAAGGTGCTGCCTCTATCTCGAACCTTTAGCTCCAAACTTCAATGACTTAAAGCGTTCTTCCTATACCAGCTTCAGAAAGGCATTAGATAGAAATTGGACAACGCCAAAAAATTTCCAAAATTTAAAAATTTATGATGAATGAACCATTCGCTCAAAAGGAACTAAAATTGCACGACAGGTTAAAAGATGCTGCCTCTATCGAACCTTTAGGTTTAAAGTTCAATGGCTTGAAGCATTGTTCCTACACAACCTTCGGACATGTTGCGGATAAACATTAGAAAATGGTCAAAAACTTCCCAAAATTTAAAAATGCATTATTAAGGAACCGTTCACTCAAATGAAACCAAAATTACACCCGAGATTACTGGAAGCTTCCTTTATTGAGCGCTAATAGCCACATTTCAATGTCGTAAAACTTTGCTCTGCTACAAGCTTCAGAAGAAGTGTAATGCAAAAATTAAAAAACGCGCAAAAATAGCTAAAATTTAAAAACTCACTGCGATAGAACCGTTAGCACGAATGAAACCAAAATCTCACCTTAAATTACCAAAAGGTTCCTCTATGAAACTCGTTTATCCAAATGACAATAACATGCAGCACTGTTGAGATACGAGCATCAAAAGAAGCATTAAACAAAAATTAAAAGACCCCCAAAAATCGCCGAAATTCAAAAATTCATTCTGAGGAACTAGTCGCCCGAACGAAGCCAAAATCACCACACTGGTTAACCGAAGCTTCCTCGAAGGACCGGTTTACAGAAAATTTTTAATCATTTGAATAATTGTTCAGATAAAAGCTTCAGAAAGAGCATTATACCAAACTTAGAAAATGCGCAAAAAATCGCCAAATTAAAAAATTCTTTGAGAAAGGATCATTCACTCCAACCGAACGAAAATCATAGCACGAACTAACTGAAGCTTTCTTTAAGCTTTCTTTTTTCTCCTGACAAAATTTTTCAACAACACGCTTCAGAGGAAGCAAGATTGTCAAAATTCAAAAATGTCTCATGAAGAAACGATTCGCTCAAAAGCAATCAAGTTTATCGGCCTGGTTTATTTTTGGACCACCCTGGATAAATAAATCTGGTATAAAAATCGCTCTTTGCAAATAATATTTCTGGGGTGGAGCTTTTTCCGTAAAAAACACCACTGAATTTTCAATAAATTATTTCTGGGCCTCACCGTATGTGGAAGGACTGGCGCAAATTCTTGCAACAGCCTGTAGAATGTAAAGTTCTTCAAATCAAAGAAACGATGGCTAAATAACAGGATCAGTCATTAGAAAAAACCCTCGTTTTCCTGCAATTATTTAAATAAACTGCACACGGACATGGAGGATGGACACAGATGGCTGATATGGACAGTCGCTTTTTCATCGGCAGCGGAAGCATACAGGGTGTTCGTAGTGAATAAGTGCAATTGATCATCTCTTGTGGCGCTGTGAAGGCTTCCAAAAGCCAAAGAAAGATCTAACGATCTTCTTGCAAGTTACCGTTCCGATGCACTCAATCAAGGCTAACGGCTTTGGAGAATTATCGCCCTTATTTGGATTAATTGCTCTTAAGATCGAGATATTTTCAACGGCCGTTTACGGCTTGGCTGATAAATGGAGGACCACCATCTGAAATTATTAGATCTTCGTCAATGAAACACCAGAAGATGGACAACCACTTCAGATGTGGTCAAGTGTTGCCCACCATCCGCCTACTCGCTCAATAATTCTCCGTCAGTTGAGGAAAAAGAGGTTTCCAAGTCCCTGAGTGGACTTTAGCAGTGAATTGAATGCAAAACGAGCGCTTAGAATTGGCCTCGATTTCCCATTCACTTCGAGCCGTTTTAATCGTCCATCACTGTCACCTGCGCCATGGCTTTAGCTGGAGGGCAGTGGGCGCAGCGCCATGCAGACTGACTGAGAAAATCTATTAACAATCAATAGTTGAGAAAAAATCGCAACTTGAAGTCTGAGCCCCATAAATATGCCTCGGCCAGGTTCACGTCTAATTGCAGTTTTTGCGACTGTCAAAGATCCTTTGCGTGGGTTCAGCACAATCAGTTCGATCTTTCTCATGGACTTATTAGAAATCTGGAGCTCCTCTTGCAATAATCAGCACTCCCACGTGTGACATTTGCGCGGCTGAGATAGTTTTAAACCCGATGGCATCAAGTCGAGCCATTCTTTGTTTCGGATCGATTTAAGTGCTTTGATGGGGCTGGAAAAGGTCAATGGTTTGATTTCGAGCCTCAGCCAAATTCAGCGCTGGATTCGAGCATAAAAATTGCGCAAATTAATTGTTGCTCAACAGGCCGCTGATATTTAAAGTTTAAGTGCCGCGAATCGGCCGTAATGCTGGAACCATGTCGCATAAATTTTGCGGAATATTTGCGATTACCGCAATATATTTTTCCGTTCTCCGCTTGCGTTCCGTTTTTTTCGTTCTTTTGCATGCTTGAAAAATCCTAACTGGGTTATAAACCATTATGCAACAGTATATGTTTCCAATTGGTGCCATAAATAAAATTTCCTGTTATTCTAATACCATTAACCTACAAAGTGGCACGTTGTCACGAGCCGGTTCGCTTTGGAGCACCCGAAGAGGCATCGAAGAAAACTGGATAAAAGGCGATTTTTTTCTCTTCAAAGGGATGTTTCAAGCGTTAAAATTGGGGCAGTAATAAGGAATTGCCGGAAGATGTTAGGTAGGGCGGTACTTCAGGACATTTTGGTCCATAACTCGCTTAGTTATCACAGCATCTCAAAGGTGAAAGCACCGTTGGAAAGGAAATTTCTTTCTGTCACTAATAGGGGATTCCCAAAAGTTGTTAAGGCAAGCGAACATCTGCACAGTTTGGTTCGTAACTCCTGTATTCTGATCGGCTTTCTAATGAATTTCGCTTTTAAAAACGAGTGGAACTTGACACCGCTGTCGGCAATGGAAAATAGCGTGCAATGTCCGCCTAAGACATGTCTCAAAAAAACAAAAAATTGTGCATTTTTGAAAAAATTCAACATTGTTTGACCGAGTTTTAAATTACCTTTCCAACGGTTTTTCAATTTTTTCTATCGCTTGATTAGTATCGAAGTTATGGACAAAACAAACTTTTGCACGGCCTCCTTAACATCTTCTGGGAATCCGATAGGAGTTCATGTATTTTGATGGGAAAAAATTCGTTGAAAAGAGCACAAAATTGTCTTGGAAATAGGTGATGGTTTTTGAAATTGGTTCAAAAATGATGGTCTTATCGACAATAGGAAAATCGATGTTTCAAATCATCGTCAAATTTTCGTTTTGTTAAAAATCTTCCACACTGTCTGACAGAGCATTAAATTGCTCTTTAAGTCCTTTTTTGATTTTTCGAGTGTCTTGCTTTGTAAAGAAGTTACCGGCAAAACAAACTTTATGCAAGATCAGCTTAACATTTTCTGGGAATCCCACAGGACTTCTCTTATTTTTATGGGAAAAACACCATGGTAGGGACCAGAAAATTTCCTTTAAAACGTCGTTTTCATTTTTGAAATTGGTTGGAAAATAGCGCTGTTTTAAGCAAACAAGTAAATAACTCTTAGAATGTGCCTAAAACATTGTCCAAAAAACTATTTTCAACACGTAAAAGCCTGTTTAATAGTATTTAAAGAGTACTTTTGAGCAACAAACGCAATAGAAATTGATCAACGTCGAAGTTGTGCCGAGCCCTTCGGGCACGACACTGGTTTCGACGCGAAAACACTCTCAACTTCTCGATTGATCAGTTTTTGACCAAAAACCAGTATCGTGCTCGAAGAGCTCGGCACAACAAAGGCAATAGAAATTGTTCAATGTCGAAGTTGTCCCAAGCCCTTCGGACACGACAATGGTTTGAACGCGAAAACACTCAACTTGTCAATTGATCAGTTTTTGGCCAAAAACCAGTGTCGTGCTCGAAGAGCTCAGCATAACAAACGCAATAGAAATTGTTCAGTCTCGAAGTTGTGCCGAGCCTTTCGGGTACGACACTGGTTTGGACGCAAACCACTCCCAACTTCTCGATTGATCGGTTTTTGGCCAACAATCTGTCGTGCCCAAAGGCTGCGTCAATTGTCAAAAACGTCAGAAGAAAAGCCACCGCACGAATCCTTTCATTTGGAATTTTTTCTTGTCTGTAACCGGGCTGTTTTTACATCGATTTTAAAAATAAATCCGCTGTTGGAAAGGCAATTTTAAGCGTCAAAATATTGCCCACTTCCCAGAAGATGTTAAGCGGGCCTTATTCCCGTACACTTTTGCTCATAACTCCGTTATTCCTCGCATGATTTCGAAAATTCAAAAACAGCTGGAAAGGCAATAAAGAACCCAATATACTGCTAGTGCAACTGCAAAAGCACCATCAGCAAGTGGCTGGTGTTTTCGCGATAATTGCCCGAATACTCACTTAATGCGCTTTGACGCTTTCGGAAGCCGTCTTCGGCGAATTGCTTCTTTAAATCGTTTGTGGTACAAGAGGGCAACTCGACCCGTTGATTACGCAGAACCAAATCGCTTTATACGAACCGTAAACCGCCATTTCGACCATTTATTATTGTTATTACCGTACGGTACCGTCGGGTACTTTCACCGGCCTAAAAAGCCGCGAACTCAACAGAGTTTTGCCAACGTTAATTCAGGGATAATTATTCACTTTGCTTAAGTAGCTGTTAATTTGGGGTGTTGGGCACATTGTGAGTGACTGTTTTTCTGGAATCTGGTTTTTTTTTGCAGATCTGGCCGCAATCAGGCGACTTCTGGACACGGAAAGTACGGCCGGGACGTGCCCCAGCTGTGAAATGCCCTTCGATAAGGGCAAAAAGCGACGACTGATCGACACTTGCGGCCATGAACGCTGCTACTCTTGCATGTTCACCAATGAAGTTTGCCCGCTGTGTTCCTTGCCCGAGCCCGTCTCAACCACAGGTAAGTCTAAGGATTTTTCAACTTTTTCTCATACAATTAGGCTAAAATTCTCGCTTCCGCTCGAGCCGGTTCCCACAGAATTAGTCGTGTTTACTCCAGCTTATTTGCTCTCGATTGGATCCTTATCATTAACCGAACTGAATAAATCATGAGGAAATTTTGAATGTTCGTTTGCAGACGGTGCCAGCCTGAAGGAGCTGAAATGCCACGGATTGCGCGGTTCCGAAATCACGCTCTATGGAGACTCTGGAGACTCTTTGCAGCTGGAAAGTCTGGACAAGCTTCAGCCCCGCCCCAAACTCAAAACCAACGGTCACTTCACCAACTTTATGAAGGTAAAACATGCAAGAAATTAATCCGGCGCGAATTAAACCGGTACTTTTCAGTGTGCATAAAACGCAACCTTGTCCCAACTGATAATTGCTTTAAAAGTTTATTGCTGGCAATCAAAAAAAATCCAGTGCAAAAGATTTTAATTAAGCGGGTTAATTGAATCGACACGCTTTTCTTCATCAGAGCCGCAAAGAACAGTCGCCGAACCGGCCCGAAGTGGGCCATCCAGAGAACCTGCCCAAAACCCGCCCCAGCAACCCCCGGCTGCGCCCTGAGATGACTCAGAGCTGCCCCACGCCGCCCCAGTCCCGACGCAAGTTCTTCCTGAGCCCCAAGGCGATCAGAAGCCCCTTCTTGAGCAGGAACTGGAGGCAGCAATCGGATGCCGCCATGTCAGGTAGGGATCAGAACTCGTCGCTCAGACGATCGCTCATCAGTTCGTTTGCATAGTTTCAATGACCAACTCGGTCACATCGGAAGCCAAGCACTGGCCCAGCGTGGTTTTGGGCAAAATCCGCTCTCTGTGGAGCGCTGGCACCAGTACGGAGCGAGTAGGCTTGAATCAACTGGTTGCATCAGGCAGGGGGATTTTTATGTCGTTTTTTTGCATGATTTGCTGTGTTTTTATGAGTTTTTTTGCATCTAGTCAACGAAAATTTCCTGCCCTCTAAAACGCAGTTTTCTAAGTTAAAATGGTGTCACTAGTAAGGGAGCCCCAGAGGATGTTAAGGGACGGCTACACCTGCAAAGCTTGCTCATAACTCTGGTGTTTTTCACTCGATTCCGGAAGTTTAAAAACCGGTAAAAGCCCTGAAGAATTTTCTTCAAAAGGGCTATGTTCAATTGTGGGAAACATCCGTTGCAAAGCCACCTCAAGAGTGTCCTCATTTGTCCTTTTTCCACTGTCTTCATCGTGGGCATTTTTGCGTCGATTTTTCACGGAAAACCGCTATTCGGATTAGGTTTGGGTAACTCAATGCATTTTTAGGAGTTGGCGCAGTGCTACGCAAATGGCTTGCTGCGCCAACCCAACGCACCAACTCAGTTCCGTTGCTGGGAAAATGTTGATGACTTTTTCACTTTTTTAGATTTATTATAAGGGCCATTTGGCAATAATATTATTAACATTTCTTCAAAATTTCAGAATTTTCCCGTTTTGGACCAAATAGTTTCAAGCAATCGTATGCGCAAAGGGAATAATTTGATGACTTTTTTTTAAGATGCGAAACTTTCGTCACCGGCCATGAGTTATAACTTATTAACCAATGAAAGTTAAAACTCATTAACTCAGAGAGCGGCAACAGCTCAAAAGCGCAACACAGTGTTACCCAGACCTAATTCGGAATGCAATTTTTTGCTCTCCAAAGCGCAATTTTCAGAATCGGAATGGTGCCACTGTTGCCACGGGATTCCCAGAAGATGTTAAGAGGCGCGTTCAGTAGGACAGTTTTGTCCATAACTCCTTTATTCGTCATCTGATTTCAACAATTTAAAAAGCAGTAGAAAGTCTGCAAATTTTTTTACAACGTTTAGCTGTCCAAATATCATTAGCAAAGCCACCTTTGCTATTTTAACTTAATCAAACCGGCCACTTTAGGACTGAAAATCCGGTTTGATTCAATCAACCAGCAGGACAATTTTCTGACTTATCTTTGCATGTTTTGTTGTTGTTTTTTTGTTGTTTTTTTCAACCCTTCTTTCAACCCAAAACTGCATGATGAAAGTTCGTTCGATGAAAGAATGTTCCAGGTGGCTCTTTGGCCCATGCGATGAAGAAAATTCTCCTTTTTTCGGACAAAATGGAAAAGTTTCATGCTAATCTAAAGATGTTGACATACGATTTAGTAACCAACGAAATTATTAGCAAAGAAATGACTGTAAATGTTCAAAAGCCCCGCCAACTTAGCTGCACCCAGAATGTCTTCGACCGTCTTCTTCTACTGGCCATAGCGGCGCTAATTTCAACTCGATTTTAACTGCCAGTCCGGTACTCAAAAGACCAATTTCTGCCCTTTAAAATGCCGTATCACAAGTCAAAATCGGGTGACTAGCAACGGATTCCCAAGAGATGTTAAGGGAAGCCAACAACAGCTCAGTTTTGCTCATAACTTCGTTATCCGTCATCCGAGTTCGAAAGTGTAAAAAGCGCTAGAAAACCAGTGAAATTCCCTACAAAATAAACGTCATCAGCAAAGCAGCCGGCACTAGAACCTCTTCACCTGGCGCTGAAAACGTTTGTTGTCCTGGCAATTAGACGAGCCTTTCGAGCTCAACCGGACTAACTCTTTATCACCTCGCATGCTGCTACAATTCCTCTTAAGGGCGCCCATGACAAATTAACAAAAACCTCCCTGTTTCAGACGATGAGGCCACCATCAAGCCACCGTCAGTGAAGCAGTCATCCGACAATGACATGTACATGCGACTGGGACTGTTGCTGGGCGACAGCGCAAGAAGGACCAAAGGTAAACGAGGACAACGCAAAAACGAGTTATTATTTTAGAGAATTTTTCATGGCAGGAGTCTACAATCCGGAGTCCTGCTCGTCATTGGCCAGCTACGAAACCACCGCCATGATGTCGACCAATACCAGCCCAGTATCGACGCTGACCGGCAGCTCAGAGGATCCGCATCGGACCAATCCCAGCTCAGATAGCGTGGCTTCGCTCATGTCCATGTCCATGTCGGGTCAGAGCAACTGCAGCTCCAGCCCACTGAGTCGCCGTCATAGCGTAACTAGTGAGTAATTTTTAGTTTCTTCTACTGGCCATAGCGAGGCTGTTTTTCATCCGGTTTCAAAAATGTAACCCCCAGTTGAAAGAGGAGTTCTTGTTCTCGAGAAGGAGATTGGAAGAGTGAAAATCGTGTGACTAGTTAGAGAGTCCCAGAAGATGTTAAGAGACGGCTACACCTGCACGGTTTTGCCGATAACCCATAACACATGTTCTTCATTTCATTTTGAAAATTTGAAAAATGTTTAGCCTGGGATATTGTCTCTGGGTTAACGGTGCGGACTAGGCCTGGGTAACTCAGTACATTTTCTTCACTTTTTTTCACATGACTTTTTTCACTTGTTTTTAGATTTGTTTTAAGCGCCATTTATTAATTAATTATATTTTGAAAATTTCAGAATTTTCAAGTTTTAGCCAAGTTACTCTTTCTTCTAAATGCTTAATTTTCTAGTTTCACTTAAAAATGCTGACAATCTTAAGGTATTTTCCGTGAAAAATTATGAAATAAATTTCAAATCCTTCGTCGCTTTGTAAAAAGTTTTGAAATCCTATTACAGCTTCGAATTTGGAACAAAAATCAAATTATCATCAAAAAACGAACAGAATAAGCGAAAGTTTATTACAGATTACTTAGAAATCTTATTACCTCCATACCTCTGAAGACTGCAGATTGTTTAAAAAAATGTGTTTTTTTAGTTTTGACTGATTTTTTTCCTTTAAGTTCTTCTACTCAAAAACGCTCTATTTTGCAGAGTTTTACTTAAAAATACTAACGGTCTGGAGGTCTTTTACGCGAAAAATTACAAGATAAATGTATAGCTGTGTAAAAATTGTCTTCAGGTATTTTTAGTGCGGACTGGTCAAGAACGTCACCAGGAAAGACACCCGAAGAATATATTTATTTGTCTTTTTCTACTGCCTACCACGCTGCTGTTTTTATCGGGATTTCAATAGAAAATGCGCTGTTTTAAAGCCGATGTCTTGCCATTCAAAGCACACTTTAAAGAATCCATTTTTTTTCACAATCAAGAGCGTGCCAGAAGATGTTAAAGTGAAGGTGCAGTGGGGCAGTTTGGTCCATAACTTCCTTATGCGCCATCTGACATCGAAAATTTAAAAACCCTTAGAAAGCCCTTAAAATTCCCACAACAGCTTCTTCAAACATCCACTTTTACTCCGATTTTTTCCGACTGTTGTAATAAAAAATGGCCGATTTCAGCCGCCCAACCTGGCCAAGTGGAGGACCTGAATCTGTTCAAGAACAGAAGAACGTGCGTCCGACGATCAGCACGCGCTGGAATCGCCCTCAAAGGCGTGGTGGACCCGAAAATCCGCTTCGCCCAATACCGGGCGCCTCAACTCACCCTCAAGCCGCTGTTCTTTGAGGTGCCCCTCCAGGAACGCGACCCTCTTTTCCTGGGCCGGCACTGGCTGATTAAGCACATGGAGGAAGTGATTAGTACGAAAATTCCCAGAAGTTAGTAAGCAGGCGTAATCAAAAACTCATTCCAGACTCCTCCAGTCCTGGCATCCTCCTGACCGGAAGCCCTGGCACCGGAAAAACCGCGCTGGTGCTCCAACTGGTCGACTACAGCTGCTTTGGGAGGCGCAAAGAGCCAGTTTACCAATCCATCCACTCCCCGGAACGTTCTAGAAGCCCGCAGTCGTCCATCTACGGGCCCATTGACTTGGTGTCGGAAAAGATCAAGCATCTGGCCAGCAGCATCGTGGCCTACCATTTCTGCCAGGCGGACAACAACAACACCTGCCTAGTGCCGGACTTCATCCACTCTTTAGCTGCGCAACTTTGCCAGGCTCCTCAACTGGCCGCCTATCGGGAGTATCTGCTCAATGAGCCCACGCTGCAAACGGTGCTGTCGCTTAAAGAATGCATCGCCAATCCGGACCTGGCCTTCACTAGGGGTATCTTGGAGCCGCTGGCCAGCCTGCGAAGAGTGGGCAAAATCGACAACCTCAACTGCACCATCCTGGTGGACGCCCTGTGCGACGCAGAATACCATCGGCCCGACCATGGGGACACCATCACCACATTCCTGCTCAAGCACATCCCGAACTTCCCTGGCTGGCTGAAGGTGGTCGCGACTGTTCGCACTCACCTCCTGGAGCTGATGAAGCAGTTCCCGTTCACCAGAATCAGCCTGGATCAGGCGCAGTGCAACGAGCACATCCAGAAGGACGTGCTCGGCTACATCCAGTTCCGGCTGCAGAACAGCCCCAGCATCCAGACCAATGTGACTCTGTCCAACAACGGAAAGCTGGAAAGTGGCACGGTGTGCCAGCACAAGTTCTCCCAGCACCTGCTCAGCCTGGCGCAAGGATCCTTCCTGTTCGCCAAGCTGACGCTGGATCTCCTGGAAAAGGGCCAGCTGGTGGCCAAGTCTTCCGGGTACAAAGTGCTGCCCGTCACGCTCTCCCAGATTTATCTGCTTCACTTCAACTTGCGCTTCCCCACCATCAGGTCCTTCGAGAAAGTGGCCCCCATTCTCAGCGTGTGTTTGGCTGGCCTCTACCCGCTCACCCTACTGGAGATCTTCTATTCCGTCAATGCCCTGTTGCGCGACAACTTCATTCCCTGGAAGGAGTTCCTGCAGCGCTTCAAGCTCCTGTCCGGCTTCCTGGTGAAGCGGCTGGACAACACCTACATGTTCTTCCACCCCTCGTTCAGGGAGTGGCTGATGCGTAGGGACGACAACGAGGCCACCAAGTTCCTCTGCGACTTGCGCTCTGGCCATGCAGGCATCGCCTTCCGGCTGTCCAGAGTGCAGGCGCCGCTGGACGCCGAAAAAACCCTCGAACTGGGCCATCACATCCTCAAGGCCCACGTCTACAGGAACATGCCGCTGGGGCAGCTCAGCTCCCGGGACTTGCAGGCTTTCTGGGTGACGCAAGGCTCGGAAAATGTGTCAGCGGCAGTTTGCCATCTGAGGAACATCTACAGCCCCAATGTGAAAGTCTCCAGGCTGTTGTTGCTGGCGGGCGCCAGCCCCAACTATGTCACCGAGTTCTTGGGGAAGGCGCCAGTGCTGTGCATGTACGCCAACGAGGGGAACGTGCCCATGGTGTCCCTGCTGCTGGAGTTTGGGGCTGATGTGGAGCTGCCCACTAGTCAAGGGCAGACGGCGCTGTCACTGGCTAGCTCGAAAGGACATTGCGACGTTGTGAGGCAGCTGGTGGCGGCAGGCGCCAGCCCGGGACATGCAGACGCTGTGGGGTACTGCCCCTTGGTTCACGCGGCCAGAAACGGCTGTCTTAATGTCGTTGGGTACCTGTTGGCGTGCGATTGGGTGCTCAAGCACCCGAATGACGTGGAGCTGGCAGAGGCGGCGCAGCAGGCGCTCATTGCGGCAGCAGGACAAGGACACACGGAGATTGTTGAGTATCTGCTTGATATGGCCGAGGTCACCGCTGACATGGCCGATTCTATTACTGGTAAGAGGTTTCTCCTAGTTCAACGTCCCGATTGTTTAGGTCAGGTGATCGAGGTGGCCTAGCTACTGTTCCAGCTTAACTGTTGGAACTGCGGCCTACAGCCTCTATTGAATAACTGAAACAATCATTCGAGTTATTTTATCCAGTTAAATACACGTTTTTTTGATGTGATGTGTTATTTCAGGAGAAACTGCTTTGACAGTGGCGGCATCCAATGGCTGTCATACCGTTTGCTCGGCCCTGATCAGTCGAGGGGCCAGCATTTCCGTGAAGAATCGCAAGGATGTGACGCCCCTGCTCATTGCAGTAAAAGAGGGGCATTGGGCAGTGGCGGAGCGCCTGATCCAGAACCATGCGGCCATCGAGCAGATGGACGAAACCGGGCGGACGCCGCTGATATTGGCTGCTGCCGAAGGCCATTTGGGCCTCATCGATCTGCTGTTGGATAAAGGTAGGCTTTTATCCGGAATTATTGACTCGGGCTAACTAACTTCATTGGAATTCATCACTCGAGCAACTTTACATTTGGTCACCAGTGTATAACAAGCGTGCTTTCCCGGGGCGAGTGCGACAGATACATCGCTCACTCAGGCAGCGGAGAGAGACAGCCAATAAAGTCTGGGAACTGTTCTGGTTGTATTTAAACTGTTGCAAGATTGAAGTGGTTAATTTTTTTGCTAAGGGATGTCCCTTCAAAACCGGAAACTAATGAAAGCTGCTGGCGTATTGCGAACGAACTAAGTTGCAGTAAACGCCCAATTAAATTCGTTGTTTGTCTATCAATATTCTCCAAACTAATGGGAATAAATCGGGAATTCGGAAGCCACAACACGCGGCTTAATGAGTGCGGATTGAATCGCGTGTAACCATTTATCTAGTCGGCTTAGAGGCTTGGATAAGCGAAAATCCACCAACATAATAATCGGCCAAAATCCGAGCTAATGCGGGGATTTAATGGTTTTTTTGGGTCTTTCAAATCGAAACAAAAAAGACACTGCAATCCTCAACCAGCTTATAATGTAGCTAATTGTTTAGCGCTCAAATCGCATAATTTGTCGAATTTTCCTCCATTGGTTGGAGCGAAATGCACCTGATGCCCAGCGACATATAAGGCGATAAAAACTAGGGATTGTCAAAATTCTTCTTCAACCGCAACCAAACAGTGTCATTTTATCAACTCATCAACTTTTTATATCTATACTCCTTTACATTTGTTGACCATTGTATAACAAAGCGTGCTTTCCCGGGGCGAGTGCAACAGATGCATCGCCCCCTCAGGCAGCGGAGAGAGACAGCCAATTGAGTATGGGGACTGTTCTGCGTGTATATAAACTGTTGCAAGTTTGGAGTGGTTGATTTTTCGCTAAAGGATGTCCATTTTGAAAACCGGAAACTAATGAAAGCTACAGGCGTATTACGAACGCACTAATTTGCATTAAGCGCCCAATTCAATTCGTTGTTTGTGTATCGATATTCTCCAAACTAATGGGAGTAAAATCGGGAATTCGGAAGCCACAACACGCGGCTTAATGAGTGCAGATTGAATCGCGTGTAAACATTTATCTAGTCGGCTTATAGGATTGGATAAGCGAAAATCCACCAACATAATAATCGGGTAAAATCCGAGCAAACGCGGGGATTTAATGATTTTTTTGGGGCAATTGAAGTCGAAGCAAAAAAGACACTTCAATTCCCAACCGGCTTATAACGTGGCTGATTGTTTAGCTGAAATCGCATAGTATGTGGCATCCTTCATTGGTTGGAGCGCGATGCACCTAATGCACAGCGGGCGATTAGACAAAATAAGACGATAAAAACTAGATATTATCAAAATTCATCTTCAACCGCAAAGAGACAGTTTCAAGTTATCAACTTATCAAATTTTCATATTTATGCTGCTTTACATTTGTTCACCAGTGTATAACAAAGCACCACCCACGGCAAGTGCGACCGACACATCGCTTACTGCACGCAGCAGAGAGAGAAATACAAACGAGTATCCCAAAAGTGCTGGGTCGATATAAACTGTTAACCAATTGAACTAACCGTTTTTCTTAAAAAATATGACAGAATCGAGTTTTTTAACTAGGCACTCGTGCAATCTTGCCAAAGACACTTTGGGGGCGTTTGCCTCAATTTTAAAATGATAAATCATCTATAATAATCTCCTCCAGGTTCGGACCTGACCAAGCAGGACAAAGACGGGCTGACGCCACTCTGCTGGGCCTGCCTTAGAGGCAAAGTTCAAGCGGCGCAAAGTCTGGTGGAACGGGGGGCCAATATCAACCACCACGACCGAACCGGGCGCACTCCTCTAGGTGCTTAATCCTTTGGAGGAATCTTTAGTTCATCTAAACATTTTGCTCGTATTGCATGCAGATCTGGCCGCCTACAACGGGAACCCGACTCTAGTCCAGTTTCTCCTGGATCGAGGCGCGATTATTGAACACGTGGACATCAATGGAATGCGGCCTCTGGACCGCGCCATTGGCTGCAAAAACGTCCAAGTGGTGCAGTGCTTCCTGAAGAAAGGGGCAAAGTTGGGGCCGGCAACGTGGGCCATGGCAGCAGGCAAACCCGATATAATGTAAGCAATTTTTCAAATCACTTCAATTCTCGACCAGCTTATTACGCGCTACAATTTGGTGATGCCCATCTCTCTCTCACCTGCAGTGGCAAGCTGCCCCAATACAGGTCGAGCTGTGCACCCACAGCCCTTTAATAAACTGCTTGAAAATTGAACGTAAAGCGAATTTTCAGGCTGATACTCCTCAACAAGCTTCTGGAGGATGGCAACGTGCTGTACCGCAAGAGCCGCCTGACGGAAGCCGCCCACCGATACCAATACGCCCTGAAAAAGTTCCCTAGTGATGATCAGGGCGAGCACAACCAAGCCTTTCATCAGCTCCAGATCAACTTTCTGCTGAATTTTTCGCGATGCAAGCGCAAGCTTAATGTGAGTTTTCGCAGCTTGGAATTAGGGCGGGTTTTACGGGGTTTCGTTTGCAGGAGCCGGAGGAAGCAATCGAGCTGGCCAATGAAGCCCTGGCAATGAAGCCGGACTCCTACGAAGCCTACTATGCCTTGGCCAAAGCCAAGCTGGACCTAGAGGAGTTCGAGTGCGCCTTGAGGGATGTGCAGGAGGCGCAAAAACTCTCACCCAGCCAGCACGTGGAGGTGAAGAAAGTGCTGGCTTTTCTTCAGGAGGAGATCGTGAATAAAATGTCCCCAGGGAATCGGCTACAGTTGCACCGGAATCACGCGGTTTCAGTCGACACTCTTCATCAGTAAAACGGGCCTTGAGGCAATAAGACAAGACTGACTTTGTGAATATTTTCTACTTAGTGTATATAGATTTTTTTATTATTTTTTAGAATATCTTATTTATTTCTGTTGTTATTTTTTATTGATTTAATCATTCCTGGAGGGGCTGCGCCCCTCAATCACTTTTTCTGTTAGTTTTCTTTTTTCTACGCCACTGTGTACATACGCATACTTTAGGCCTAGTTTTAGTGTCTTGCCGGTGCCCAGTTTGGGTTCAGTATTTTTTTGGAGTTTTCTAATTTATTCTTGTTGACGCTGAAACGGTTTGACTGTGTGGTTGTATAAAGTGTCCTTATACAGGTTATTATTGTTCATAAAAAAGGTAATAAATGATATTTAAATTTGCCGTTATAGTACACAAATTGTTTATTTTTTTTGTAATCCCAATTTTTGACTGATTAGTTCAATTTTCTCCTAAAGTGGCACCCTTTAACGAAAAAATCAACCACTTCAATTTTGCAACCGTTTATATACACCCAGCACATTTCCCATACTCAATTGGCTGTCTCGCTCCGTTGCCTGAGTGGGCGATGCATCTGTCGCTCTTGCCGTGGGAAGGCACGCTGTATTATAAACTGGTGAACAATTGTAAAGTAGCCAAAATTTGATGAGTTGATAAATGGAAACTGATTGTTTGCGGTGGACGATTAATTTTTATAATCCCCATTTTTATCGCCTTATTTTGCGTAATCGCCCGCTGTGTATCATGTGCATCTCGCTCCAACCAATGGAGGGGAAAAATGCGACAGACTATGTTATTTGAGCGATCAACAATCAGCCACGTTATAAGCTGGTTGGCGATTGAAGTGCCTTTTTTGCTTCCACTTCAATTCAGACGCAACAGAAACATTAAATTCCCGCGTTAGTTCGGATTTTCCCGATTATTATGTTGGTGGATTTTCGCTAATCTACGGACTAGATAAATGTTTGCACGCAATTCAATCTGCACTCATTAAGCCGCGGGTTGTGGCTTCCGAATTCCCGATTTTATTCCCATTAGTTTGGAGAATATTGATAGGCAAACAGCGAATTTAATTGGGCGTTTACTGCAAATTACTTCGCTTGTAATACGCAGTAGTTTTCATTAGTAGTTGCTTTTAATGTTTGTTTCGGATTTTGAAGTCACTCTTCAGCGAAAAAATCAACATCTTCAATTTTGCAACAGTTTATAAACCCCCAGCACATTTCCCATACGCAATTGGCTGTCTCTCTCCGCTGCTTGAGTGGGCGATGCGTCTGTCGCTCTCGCCCTGGGAAAGCACGCTTTGTTATACACTGGTGAACAAATGCAAAGTAAGCTAAAACTGAAAAAAAGAAAATTTTATGAGTTGATGAATGAAAGGGATGTTGACTGCTTGAAGATGAATGAGTCGGGGGTTGAATACGATTATGACGCATAGAATTACCCAGGCTTCGACCCGGCGCCCAGCCATCTGTTGATTGCGAGCCCTTTGAAGGGCGGCATCGTACAGTGAATAATTAGGGCGACTAAGAAGGGCCGTGAAAGAAGCGGACAGTCGCTGGGAATTGCGCAATGCCGAAAGCCAGACGAAGACAGCGACAGCTTCCTACCTGTAGAGTTGGGCAGGAGGCGGCAATCCTGCTGGTTCGAAACGTCAGGTGTGCACGCGACCACACCGTTTCAGTTCGCGTTATTCGCGGCCGAAAACCCGAATGTTTGCATCGAAAGTCGCAGGAAACCGCTGGTTGCTGTTAGTTCTTCGTCGGGAGGAAAAAGCGGCGCCGAACAACTAGGAAAACAATGTTTGTATTGGGGCTTCGCAACTGTGATTCTGAGCTCCTGCTGTGGTCTGATTGAGACAATTTGGGGATGGATTTTTTGAAAAAGTGTCCACTTTTGGTGATTATGGGCCAACAACTGTAGGGCCAAAGTGTGGTTCATCTCGTATCCTGCAGCCGCGCCAACCTGCACCATGCACAAAGAAAGGTCAGTTTTTCATTCGATAATGGACAGGATTTCCGTGCTATTGCACTAGCACGGTAACCCGATACCCGGATGGCGTTACTTAATCATCTGCAGCCGTTTGTTATGCAATTTAGCTGCAGCTGCGGCCTTTATTTAAACAAGCAAAGTTTCCATGCAAAAACAACAAGTTTTCCAACATTTTACGTGGATTTGTTCGACAATGCGTCGCTAAAACACCCGAGTCCTGTTAGATGGAAATGGGTACCATCTGGCGCAAAATTCATGTGCGGTCGCCCATCTGTAAAATCCCGCATTATCTCATCAAATCGGCGACAATTCTCGTTGTTGTTGTTGTTTACTCGCTCTAGATCAGCAACTTAGAAAGTTGAAGAATGAAGACAGAACAGTACCGAAACGGTCATCAATCATGCAACCGCGAAAGGTTAAAGTTGAAGAACAGCAACGAAATCGTGCAACTCAAGTCGCGAGTTCTTCAGCTCTTCCGGCTGAAAACCGTAAATAAATCTACCGAAATCGGACGATACTAATCAATAGGCATGTTGTTCGGTCCCATCCAGCTGGAGCACGGCACATCACATGGAATCAATGGAGCAAAGAGGAAATAATAAAGGACTTTGCATGAAATCGCAATGGTTTTCCATGAATAGCTCCATTATAACGCAATTTTGCTCTTGTCTGTAGCGTGATCTCAAATAATTGGCCTGTGAACTCCATCAATAACGGATGGACGGCCAACAACAACATAATTCTTTGGAAAATTTGTTCTAAGAGGTTTTTGTTCACCATCATATCAAATGCAAACATTGTTTCAATATCTAGTTAAAACTTGGCTATTTTAATTGGCTGACCCTGTATATTTCAAAAGAAATATGACGGCGGCTGCGAATTAGTCAAGCTCGTTGATACTCGGGTAATTTCGTTGAATTTGTCACTTACTTCAAGCTTCTTCAAGTGGGTTACAAGCACGATTTGCTCCACAAAGGTTTCGAAAAATTCCAGTTTTTGCGCAGTTTTTTAAGGCAAACTGACGACTTTCTCAAAAACAATACAGCAGGGCAATTTTATAACCAAAAAGGAGCAGGTTAATTTTTAATTTGAAGCTTTTCTGATGTTTGTTGACAACCGCTAGATGGTTCTAAGGTTACGTGTGAAGCCCTTTTCATTGCGTTGCTCGTTTTCGTGAAAAGCATCAGGAAATCGATATTTTTAAGCTTCCTTCTGACTTTTTTGACGCCCCTGTATCACCTTCAACTGAAAATATCAGCAGATTTGGTTGAAGACAATGTTTCCGTCCATAGTTGAAATGTTAGAAATTTAACTGGCTCACCCTGTACACGCAATAGGAAATACGTCATCGGCTGTCAAAAATCCAAGTTCGTTAATTCTCGGGAAGTTTCGTTTAATTAGTCAGTTGTTTGAAGTGGCTTGCAAGCTTACAGTGCGCGATTCGTTCCGATTAGATTTCGAAAAATCCCGGATGTTTCCACGTTCCTTGGGGAAAAATCATGACTTTTCCAAAAAGGAAGTTTTTCTTTACAGTTTAGTGGTGTTCTTCTGGCCGCTAGGGCCATTTTAGAGTCAAAAACGCGATTTTTAAATCCAGGTGTTTCTGACGTTTATTGACAACCGCGGGTCGTTAACCTAGCAAACCGTTACTGGCAAGGAATACGGTGTATTGGGGACACTCAAGTGGCTGCTCGTGACTTTTTTGGACTATTTGAGACAATTTCTCCCAAAAAAGCAGCTTAATGGTAGGTGCGATTTACCTAAATTTGATTTTAGTTCAAAATACATATTAAAGTTCAAGCTTAATCTTCGTTATACAGGGTGTCCGCAATGAATCCGGGACTCAAAAACAGGATTGTTTTTAGCACGAGTTCAACTCGTTTTTGGCATGGATTTGGAATTCTTTTGCGATAATTTCCCAAATATACAGGGTGCGCCAATTTCCATTTCATTTTCGGCATTTCTTACCTTTTTCCTGACTTTCCATGTGAAGCTTTTTTGTTCCATTCTGCAAAAGTAATGTCGATTTTTTATTCCTTTTTCTTACGCCTAAATATCTCAATTTGGGGCATTAATCTGGAAAAGGTCTCATTAGTTGAAACGCAGTGATGCTGTGCCATTTCCTCACCATTCAAGCCTTAAAACTGAATAACCCAATTTTGTTGTCTAAGGCCTGCTCTATGGCACTTCCATTCAAAGCCGCCTTAGTCAAGTTTCACATTAAATAGCCCTGCTCTAATATTCTAATCTCCATTATGGAGCTGTTGGGAATATGGGGAAGAGAAAGAGGCTCATAACAGTGGATACAGTTTAGGTGGAGATTTGGCCTAGATGGGAGAAAGTCGGGCATTTTTCTCCTAATAGTCCAAACTAGTTCAAATACTTACTTTCCAACCTGCCGTTTGGCCGGGATTTGGTAATCACAATAATTACTCTAAATATGAACAAGTTTATTCTGTAGCGATGTTATTAAACGAGCGAACTCGTGACAATTGAAATTGTTTTATTGCATTTCGCTGAAATGCCCCTGTTTCACCACAAATTGAGTTCGTTTAGATTTTTTTTCGGCCCATTCAACGATATTTAAATCAGTTTTATTGTTATTTTAATACAGCCGCGGTCCAATCGAATGGCTGCGGTATTGTTTAATAATAAATGAACAGCGGAGCGGGGTCACCTACATTCCGCTTCGCACCGCTGGCAAAGAATACGAAACCCATTTTTATTTATTATCGTATAAATTAGTTTTGCGCATTTTTGCTTAATTAATTTTAACGAGAATTCACACGGTTCTGGGCCTGGGTGTCTCGTGCAAACGCGAATACGGTCACTCAAGCTTCGAGATCATTTGCATGCTAATTCGATCGTTGTTTTCTGTTTCTTTGTGAAAGTTTCATTTTTCCTTTTTTTGTTTGTTTTCTCACCCCTGCTCGCATTAATCGGCTGTGTCCTCGTGCCGCACTAGACTTATAAATAAAGACCGCATAAAAAAGCACAAAAACATGGAAAAAAAGTGCTTAAAAAAGCACAAAATTAAAAAAAAAGGATTTGAAAAAAATGAAAACAAGTAATGATAATATATTGTTATTTTTATTTATTAT